CAATTTTTATTTAAGTGTAAATGAAATTGTATAAAGTAAATACCCGATGAATTATATCATATATCAAAGATGTAAGATATTCGGCAAATCTGCTGGGCTTAGTATTTCCTATTTTGTTCTTTGTTTCAGCGCTCTTGGCCTTGCTCTTGATCTCGCGTCGACTTCCGCTTCCTGCGCCCAGTGAGTTATGAATTGGAGTGCAAAATATGAGGCTATTAGAGGCCTTAAGTCCGTCGTTCATACGTGCAAGCTGCGCTTTTTCACACACCACGTTTTGCGCCGGGACGAGAGCATCATCATTATTATTATCCAACAGCTCATGACTGCGGCCATTACGGGGCCAGCCAGGAGCAGCTGAAACCGAAAGGGAAAGCCGTTCGAGTCCCAGTATCCTGGAGTATCCTCCACCTCCTCCTGCCGTTCCGTCTCAAGTGACTATTCACAGCTGAAGATTTATTGAATGTGCGCGATGCTGCCAGTCTGCCTTTCCCAGCGCCTCTGCCACGGAGTCTCTGCTATCTGCCACTGAAAGTTGGCTCTGTCTGCTCTTTGGCATTGGTATTGAGTGTTTATTTATTTTCAAGCATCATAAAAAATACACACAACACACAGACGGAGAGCCATGGCCAGAAAGGTTGCTCAAAGAAGTCTGGAATCGAAAGAGGTTCCCATTTGTGGTTTCTCCAAAGAAAAACTCCCTATCCTTTAGAAATTAAGATGTTATTTCTCTTTTGAAAGATAAGTGCTTAAAAATATTTCCCATTTTCTACAAAATATACTTATTTAATATATTTTAAGCAATCCTCGAATATGATACTCGGAATGACCCATTCAGAAGACAGGAGGCAAGGACATTCAATAATTTTGCTCGCATTCGAGTGGCAGAAACAGCTGCAATTTTTACGCCATTTTGTGCTGCCAAACCAAAGTGTAATTTGTGGCCTGGGAACTTTGTCTATTGCCTCGGTGTGGAGGGTCCTTTGGCAATCTCCTGCCCCCTGCAAATAGCTCTCTGCGATTGTTGTTTTTGTCGCTGTTAAATGAAGCATTCGCTGCCGGAGTTGAAGATGTTTGCAATTTTTATTTCATTTGCCGGTCAATGAACATTGGAAATGTGTTAAGTGCCGCCCACTCCACGGCCCTCAACTTGTCTTTAATTGTCTACAAGTTGTCGGAATGGCTTTTAATGAAGTGTTAAACGATACTCCGGCTTTGCTGTGACCTCCTGCCGAGTCTTCTGGCTTGTGGCTCCTGGCTTATTATTTGGCACGACCTGAAATATTAATTTCACTTCGACCAGCTGACACTTTCCCAGCTCGCTTTGAATAATTCCCTGCCGTTCCAAGGAGTGTTGACAGGGCTAATTACCATCGATGATTCTCGGGGCAAGTTGAGAAAACGGGAACTTAAGCGGCTTAAAGTGTGCATGGTTTTGAGCTTGTAAATTGCCAATTTATGGCTTTGATGGATGATTAATTGGGAGGCACTTGTGACTTTGATGTATGATAATAATCACTGTGAGTTTGTCGGCATGTCGAAAGATGTATCGGTGTTTCTGAATATCCCACTGTTGCGACTTTGATTTTCAGTATATTTTCTGGGATTTAATTTAACATTTTTACTTTTATTTTAAATGTTGCAAATTAAATTGATTTTTGAATCAAGTTAAATTTCTGAAGATTTCACTCTTGAGATAACTTTGTGCATTAAACATGTCATTTATGACAGCTCCAAGATGGCCAATAAAAAGTGCCAACTCAGCTGGGTGCATTTAGAAATTGAGCCACCCCATCCGCAATCTTCCACTGTCTATCCTTTTTTTCTGAGTCGTCTGTCACATAATATGGACAATCACTAACCACGCAAGTGTCAAACAAACAAAACGAGCCCAAGGCCTGCTCAACCACCCCGTTCTCCGCTCCCTACCACCCCTTTGTCACCCAATTTACCCCACCATCTGCAGGGGGTTCCGAAAATTTGCAAGCAAATCCTATTTTCGTATAAGAGGAGCGCACTCAAACGGGCGGAGACAAACCGGGCCAAAAGGAAAGCGACCGAACCACATTCGAGTGCTGCGGGCGTTTGGATACTTCTGCTCTCTTTTTTGTGGGTCGTATACCCGTGCACACATCAATCTCGTTCCAACTTTGCCCAGATACGAATCTTTCATTTTCCTATTTCCGTTCAAAATTTCGTGTAACTGAACTGGAACTTTAGAAAAAAAAGGGGAACAAAAAGGAATGCTACTACCACCACACAGATGGTGGGTGGTTGAGGGAATTGTAGGTGGAGGCTGCCTGCTCTGTGGTGCCGCTTGGAAAAGTCAGCCAATATGTGGGTGGTATTCGAAGATCAACTGCTTAAATCACCTCTAAAATAGGATGAAACAAAAATAACAAAGCGAAATCATTAGATATTGGGTATTGTATTTCTTTATTAATGTTTTTAATAAGGAAAAACAATGAAAATAAATATAAATTATTGAAATACTTTTTAAACTTGTATTGTTCAACATATTTTATATATTTTGACTGCATAGTCCATAATACCCCATACGATTCACTAACAGGGTATGCAAAGTGGGCATCATTCACATCGTCTGATTGCCCTGGCTGGTATCAAATTTAAATTTCTTCATTTGCCTTTTGGTCCGTGTGCAAGTTCAAGTTTTTGTCTGTTCTTCGTCTGATTCCTGTTTGCCCGTAGAGAGAAAATTCAGGTCATGTGCGACCAAAAAGTAAGTGGATGCGTTCTTATCAGAGCATACAAATGTTTTATCTCGCTCGGCGCGTGTGCAAGCCGAAATACACAAGGAAAAAACTTAAATTTATTGGCTACACAAATACAATTAATGTTAAAATATACACTTTGTCTTTAATAGCTATAAAAATAAATATAAATTATTCAGACTATTTTATTTCGACAGTTTTAAAAACTACTTAAAAAATCGGTAGTTCTTAAACAAATTTCTTGGTTTTTTTTTGACAGTTGTTTGATTTTTATCTTTCGAATGTGGAAATTCGAACTAAAGTGTATTAAATGTACATTTTTAAAAGTCTCTACAAAATTCCACTGTAATTAGATAATTTTGAGAGGTTCCATAAATCTCTTAATGTTAAAGTTCCAGATTTTTTTCGCTGTGTGAGGACAAAGGCAGGACGTCCTCGTCCTGGCTGGGAAGTCGCCTGCGGTTGCGCTTTCTTTCTGGCTGTGTGTGAGCGAGTGTTTTGTTTTGCCAATTGTCGGATGTGCCTGTGGGGTAGGGGGAGGAGGCAGGGGCACCCACTAATACTAATACCAACACACATGCCCAGCCAGTTAGACACTTTCTTTTTGCTACTTGAGCTTCCGTTTCCGCTTCCGCTCGCCTGACCCGCTCCAGTTCGTCTGCCTCACTTACTTATGCATAGCATATAACCTTAAACATAATTTTGTTTGCCTTTTGTGCTCTGTTGTGTCCTCGTGCAATTCTATTTGCCAGTGCTCGCCGAACCCATTTTCTTATCTTTGTTTGCTTGTTTTTTCTATCAAGCGCTACATTTTATCTCTTTGACTCGTGCCGAGGGTTTGTGAGGGGTCTCCTCCAGAAAAAATCCCGTTCCTTAAAGCTCGATCGAAACGAAACCTTTAATTCGGGGATTCTCGCTTTTGACGCCATTTAACCCATTGTGGACCAACAATTCAAGTGTCAAAGTTTGCACTTGAAATTATAATGGTCAGGCCCCCGAGCTCATTGGCCTGCTAGCCATAACAAAGGAATGTTGGCTAGAATTCAACCCAAAACCCAAAACCAACCAACGCCCACATGCCCATCTTCCCACCTTCCGCAAAGTTGAACCCCAGGGGTCAAACATTCGCACAACGTCAGTCGAGCCGGGTTTTGTGAGGCATAAAAACAACACAAAAAAAGAACTTTGAATGAAATGCACGCCCCATTGACATATGAGTGGGCGTGGCACTCTGTTAGGGGGGCGGTGGGTGGGGTAGTCGTATTGCTGAGGAAATGGCAAATGCATGCAGCCACACCATATGAGCTATGCCCATTCTCGTCCTCGATCCACCAGCGTTTCATCTCCACAAGCCCCCACTGAATCCTTCACTGTGCGTTGATTGTTCGATTCAAACATTTTGGCATGTTTCGGGCAGCTAGACTAGTTTTCACTTTTGCCCCAGCCACCCAAACTAACTACAGTGGAATCAGTGGAGAAAAATATCCTAAAAATACCTTAAATATTGTAGTATATCATTTTTAAGATTAATCATAATTAGAAGTCAAAGGAAAGGTGGTTTTACAAATGTATACAAAAAAAAAATTGGTAAGCCACTGGCTATGAATAAAAATTTAAGAATATATTGGATAGCTCCAACCAAGTGTTTTTTTAAGACCGTTTACAAAACAATTATTTATTGTGTAAAAAATATTTATAACAAATTATAAATATTATTGTTGAAATAATAAGTATATGAAATCAACACATTTTATTTTCAAATAATATTGAAAAATCAAAAATAAATTCATTGATTAAAGTCCGCATGTTTAATTAAAATTTAGCTATACATTCTAAATTCCCAAACCTTTTATATGTATAAAACAGAAATTTTTTACTCAAACGTTCATCATTTATGAAAAACATTTAATTTCGTTCCACAGTTCAGTTTGTCGCCCAGCTCCGGCTGAAATGTGTTAAATCCGCTATAAAAGCGGTTAACCGAGTAAACTGCAAATGCAAAATGCGGTTGGTTCACTTCGGTCCGGTTCGGTTGGGTCGGGTTGGGTCATATCCTGGCTTGGCCTGGTCCTGTTCCTGGTGCTGCTCCTATTCCTGGCCGGGGCAACTGGTCCTGCTCTCTGACCAAATTAAAGGCCATGCCAAAGTGTTGATGGGTCAGTTTCGACCACATGCTGTGTGTGCGTTGGCAATGCAGAAATCATTTTTGTGCATTTTATGCTTTTTTCGTTATAGGAGCGCTTAGTGGCGCTTAGTAGGCCAACAAAACATTCTCACAGTGAACACTGTTCTCGGATCCCAAAAAAGCCGACACAGAAAGCACCCATTAGGAATATTAGAGAAAAATTCCAATAAAATAATTTATAGTCTAGATGACTTCAGAGGAACAAGAAGAGGTAAGGTTCGTGGTATATTTTTCGAGTAATCGTTTTAATTATGGTTTTTAGGTCTACACAGAGGAGGAGACTGACGAGGCCATGTTCTTCATCCGCGAGCACGCGCTTCCCATGTCAGAGTTGCGCTATGCCCTCAAGTATGTCCGCATTTTGCACGGAGATCGATACCAAAACGATCAGATAATGCCAGCCCCGATGCCCCAGAATCCTGTGGCAGAGGTGGAGCCACCGCCTTTCGACTGGGAGGATAAGGAGAACCAGCCTGTGGCCCGACACCTCTAAAAGTGTTAAATGGTTTATAATGTTGTATAGGATTTGTGTTAAATGCCTTTAGATATGTCGACAGAAATGAGTAAACTCATAAAAGGCATTTGATCGGGTTTATTTTATTTATTTCAATAGATGTATAGATGTTAATCTTAATCTTAATCTTAATACGAAAAGAAGAATCTATTTAAATTCAATAGTAATTGATATTTACTTTTTATCTACATTTACCTTAGAGAAAACATAAGTATTTAAAAGCATATCCTGAGCTACCCTTTTTTAATTTATTTCATTTATTTATACTGTTAATATTAAATTGTATTCTGATTTTCAAAGTATTTTCTGAGTGGGTTTCGTTTGCCACGTCTTTGTTTTTCCCCATCCATTTCGAAATCTTTGCATTCAGCACTCCAGAGTTGCTCTGCATTTTCCCGACAATTCGCGACGAGTTGGACAATTTTTAATTGTCAAACGCAGTCGGGTGACAAATGAAGGAGTGAAGGAGTTGCACCGGAGAAGCCTTAATGACAGCTGATAATTTATTCAGCAAGTGCAACAGCTGAGCGACGGGCACGAATTGTTTTCCGGGAGCCATGAAATATTTACACGGGATAAAGGACGAAGGAGCAGCCGAAAGAAACCGTGTCCTGCGCTCCTGAGATGAAATACATCCGCTTGTCGTTGTCAGGATGACCGAGTGTCCAGATCTGCTGTAAAATGCAAATGAATTCCCGGCAATTTCCACCCTCGCCGAGAGAGAGACTTGCATTTAATTAGGAATTAATGTGGGCGGCGGGTTTTGATGGGGGGTGAGTTTCGGCAATTCCGGCACTCTGCGGTTAAGTGAAAGTTGAGCTTTTGGCTTAAGCCGTCTAAGCCGCGACTAAGTTTAATGTCCCGACGCGAAACGCTCAATTTGCATTTTGCATTTCCCTCCGGTCGAAATACTTTCGGGCGGTTTTCCCCACCCTCGGTATTTTACGCATTTGCAACCCTCGCAAACAAGTGAAACATTTATTGTTTCAAACGGATTTCGCTGCGCCCCAAATTCGATTACTCGTAATTGCCTATTGCCAACCTCCGTTTTGGAAGGGCAGAGCACAAAAGCCGGGCTTAATTGAATTAAAAGGCGTTGCAAAGCTCAAAAGCAGCGAGCGCCGTGTTCGCTGATGAAGCTTTTTAAGCCATAAGCTGATTAATCGCCGGGATTCCGGTTATGGGATGAGTCCATTCAGGGTAGTTGATTAAAGCGAATAATTGTGATTGTACAATGTTTGGGAATGAAGTATATTTTGTACAAACAACTACATAAAAGGTACCTTAAAATATTTTATACATGAAAATAAATGAATAAATGAATTTATATTTCAAAATTTAATATTACATACAACCTATCATATCAGAATATTTAATTTTTCAAATACCAAAATTCATTTAATCAACAATTATTTGAGCAATATTTTTCGTGACTAATAAATGCCAAGATTAAATTTCGAAAAACGATGCAATCTCGTCTGAAGTTCAAATTACGAGCTATTGTGTAAGGACCGCAGACATGTAATAACAAATACACAAAAATCAACGCTCATTTAGGCCCCAAAGAAGCCTTCTCCCCTACGCCCCTTTTTTCGGAGGCGGATGGGAATGGGCGCCCATTTGATGGGTTTATTATTGGGTAAATAAATTAAAATTGTTTACCTTTCAGCGGCGCCAGGCCTCAGTGCGCTGAAGGGAGACAGCGATACGCAGCTATCTCTTTCGGTGTTTATTTGTTGTTTCTCCGTTAGCCCGACGAGCGAGTATGTTTGTGTTTTTTTTATTATTTTTCCCCAGTTCAATTGCGGTTACGTGAGTGCGCGTATGTTGCGGCAACTTTATTTGCGCAAATTAATGGATAAATGTTCACGCACATGATAATGGAGCAGGACGACATGGAAATGGGTGGCCATCAGCATATGAAAATAAATAGAATAATGGGAAATGTATATGAACGAATGGAAATAGTATTCCTTTGCAGGCTGAAACTGTCTAAATATTTTGTTAAAATTAGTTTGCGAAAATACGAAAAATAGCGAAGGCAATTAGAGAAGAGCTATGCTTTGAAAACAACTCTATGATCCGTGTCCTTTTTTAAAAAAGACAATATTCTGCTATACATATAGAAAAAATTGCAAACAGTTGCGTAAACTATGCCAACTTTGAATATGCGAATGGAGAACTCTGAAACCGGGAGATTTCCACTCCTGACCAACCTCTTTCTCGAGTCCAATCAAACAGTGAACTTTTTCAAGTTCCTAGCACTTTTTCCCCTCTATTGATTTTGCTTTCAAATCAAGTTTTTTGTTGAATGGTCCAGAGTGGGCTTTGATTGAAATAGTTTAGTTTGTTTTGATAGTCATGCATACGAAAATAAATATTTTGAGGCTGCTCGAAACTTAGCACCTAAGGAAAATAAAAGTTTGAGTAACTTACGGTTCATGAAAATGAGCATCTGAATTGTTTCAAGCCTTTAAACGATAAATGTCCAATGTTATCTGTGCTATATTTTATTAGTAAGCAAACCCAGACAAACCCCACACCTTTGTTTTAAGTATCTGTATCCCATTTCCATTGCCTGACTTCTAACTATCCAATTCCAACTTAAGTTTACTTTTATTCAAGAAACTTTAGCGACACCCAAGCAAGCACTGGGTTATTAAGTATAAAAGTGATGATATGGTACGATTGTACAACGGAATAAATGACTTAGTATATGGGTAAAATAGGAGATGAATATTAAGTATATTTTAAAGGGTACAGACAATAATAATAGCCACACAAGCAATAATCTTAAATGAAGAATTTATTGTACCTAAGTGAGGTAAAACTTAAGTACCATAATATTTGCCATCTCTGCAGTCCAAGTGCCATAAATGTCAATAGACCAGAAACCATTATGCATAATAATACCCCCACTCGCAGTCGGCGGAGCGCTGCAGCTGCTCAAAAGCCAAGGGAGTCCCCTCCCCGAATTCCCAGCCCCAACCCCATCCCCCCTTGGCCTTTGTCCGATGTCAGCATTGTCTGTTCCTGTTCCTCGACTTCTGTTCGCATGCTAAACAATATTTCTCCATTACAAAACAATGGGACGAGTTGCCTGTCCCCGACAAGTAGCACCTTTTACTTGTGGCATCAGTTAAAAGTTTTGCTTTTTATGTTAGCGCGTTGCAGTGGCAAGTTACCCACCCCGCTCCACCAACTGCCGCCCTCTCGCGGGGATCCTGGCAACTATCTCAAGTCGTTGCGGCAACTTTTGTTGCCTACTTTCGTGGGTCCGGGTCCTCCTTTCTCTCCATGTGGCAAGTTTTTGCTTTCGCTTATTGTCCGGCGTGGAAAAAAGTTTGGTTTTGTTGCTAAATTGAATGCGACTTGCGTTTGCTTTACCGCCACTGCGTCCTTGTGTCCAACGTCGTGCTGACGTCCTGCTAAAAGTCCTTGAAGGTGCAAATTGTAAAACAAACAGAGAAACGAGACCCACCCAGCTGCCTCGAGCAGAGATGGGGCAGCCAAGTTGGCAGATAAAGTGTTGCCAGCAGATCGAGGTCTTTAAGAGGGATTCGACCTGTAAGTTAAGGTGATAAGGGGCATAATGACTTAATAAGCCTAAAAAATCCAGATAAGAAATCTTTATAGTTGGACGAATAATTTTATAGAGGTTTGTTATATTTTTTACCAACCTTTGATATTTCTAAGCCCCAACGTTATTAAAGCGTAAATTAAATATAAGTAGCATATCTAAATCATTTTTCCACATTTAATTGTATACTAAATCACATTTATATATAAGAGATAGTTCGTTCTCTATACAGAAACATATATCGTATTAAAACGATAATGAAGTCGTTGTCATTGCTGCTATCCAACTTCACTTCCTTGGTAATAATGGTTCTCTCAATTATCGCGTGTCCGCAACAAGGGCCCTGTGACGGCATACCACTAAACAATAAATAAATAATGGTGTATTTGGCTAAGATTTTGCTAAAAATAAAATTTTACTAAAAGTAGAAGACATTTTTCTTTGTTTTTAACAAGTAAAGCGGTAACAATGTTATTAAAGCGTAACTTAAATATGCATGGCATATTTAACAAATTTTTACACGTGCAATTATATAATTTGTTTCATTTATATATAAAAGAACAGTTTGTTCTCATTCAAATAAGTCTCCCAAATCCTTAAAATAAATGTGTATAGTAAAATATTTACTTCAAACTAAAAAACATTTTTTCTTAAGTTAAAGAAAAAAAAAACGCTTTTGTTAGGCCTTGTAAAAAATTTACCTTGCTCTGAAATTTACTCTGAGTTGGCTGAGTAGGTAATTCAATTATTTTAAAATTACAGCAATCCCGATCAATCAGTCAAGAACAAAACCGTTTTTGATCATTTTCGTTTTCGGTTTTCAAAGCATTTTAGTTGCCAATTACTCTGGTCGAACCGTATAAATCCCAGTCATTACATTTAACGGCTTAATTCCGACACAGCCATAAACCAACAATAATGGCCAGGGCACAAACAACCAAACATCCCGACATATACACATACGACCCATCCAAATGACAACCACTAGAATCGTTTGGCATCTAAAAAGTTGTGGCCGAGTCCATTGCACTATCATGGAATATTTATTCAATTTAAATTTACCAATTAACTTGGACTGGGTCCCGGCCCTGAGTTGGGAAAAAAGGGCCCCTAAATGCTGACAACGTTTAGAGCGGAGTTCCCTGCCCCGCGGCCACCGCTTCTGAATAATAAATGCATAATTCCTAGATGGAAAAGCGCGTGCCATAAATATTGCATGATAAATTATAGAAAAGCTATTAGGACAACAAACGACACGACCAGGGCGCAGGACTATAGGCTCCTTTGTTGAGTGTGGAAAAATAGGCGACCCATTAAATGGCGCAGTGGAGGAGGAGGGGTGGGTGGAAAACTCCTAGTCCTTCTGTGTTTGACATTTTTCAAATGAGGTTAGCTCGACCACTCGACTCGACTGCCTACACGCCTGCTTATTTATGTAAATTTGCGTAAATTACTATGAAAATATTTACGGTAAATAGAGCGTTTGAAATTTTTATAATTTAAATGGGCAGACGCAGGCTTTTCGCCCCCTTTCCTCCCCCTCCCCGTCAGGGAAAGTCAGTGTGTGGAAATTTCCTCGGTTACCACCAGCTGTGCACG